GGGGGGGGGGCATGGCGGGCTGGTAGCCCTGAACCTGGCTGCTGGGGGTGTAGCCGCCCTGCCCCGGGTTCTGACCCGAGGGCCCAGAGTTCTGTGACCGGAGGTACTGGACCACATCGTCCGGGAGCACCAGGTCGTCCTCCCCGCCGGCCATCAGCCCGTCCACCGCCATGGTCTCCATGGCCACGTTCTCGGAGATGCTGGGGGGTCTGGGGGCGAAGGGGTGCCGCTGCAGGCTGCCGTCCGAGCGCGTGTAGCCCTGGCCCGCCAGCGCCAGCTGCCGCTCGCCGCTCAGGGCGCCCACGCCGTTCAGGGCGCCGCTCAGGCTGCCGTAGCGCGGCGCCCGGGGGAAGGCCGGCGGGTCCGGGGGGGGGGCGGCGCACCGGGTCGCTGGCGCGGCGCGGCAGGCTGGCCGGCGCCTCGTGGGGCATCACGCCGTAGCCGGTGTCGCTGCACCGCCGGGCCCCGGGGGGGGGCTGGCGGTGGGGGGGCACGGCGCCCTCGTGGGGCTCGCTGTAGAGCGCCATGCGCGTCCTCAGGCTCATGCGCTCCATGTTGGGGAGGGGGGTGGGCGGCGCCCCGCCGGTGGCGGCGGCGTACTTGGCCTTGAGGCGGTAGTGCTGCGCGGGGGTGAGGCTGAGCATGCTGGGGAGGCCCCCCCCGCCCCCGCCCCCGCCCCCCCCGCAGTGGCTGGCCTCGCTGGAGCGGCGGGACAGGTCGGTGGAGATGGGGTCGTAGGAGTCGGCGGAGCTGAGGTTGTGGTGGCGGCGGCCCCCGCAGTGCGAGGCCTCGCTGGAGCGCCGGCTGGAGCCGCAGGGCGAGATGCCCGAGGAGCGGCGGCTCAGAGAGTAGGCGGGGCTCAGAGAGTAGGCGGAGCTCAGCGTGCTGCTGCCGCTGCCCCGCCGCTGGGACAGCAGCGTCACCTCGTACGGGTCCAGCAGGCCGGAGCCGTCCAGCAGGGAGCCTGCAGGGGGGGGGGGCACAGCAGCGTTACACAGCGGGCAGCTGGAGGCAGCCCCCCCGTCACAGCGGCCCTCCCGCCCTCAGGGACCAGGTGCCATGCTCAGAGATGAGCCATGTCCCAAACCACCATTTCAATTTCAATTTCTCTACCATTAGAAATGAGACGTTCGATAAGCCGACGCCTTAAAAAATATCCTTAAAGTTTTAACAGACCCACGAAAACCCAATCACAGGACGACAGGGTGCAAAAGAAGGGCCTGAGAGGAGGAACTTTGGGTGTTTGAAGTAAAACACTGTGCAGACTCTGTAGAAAGAGCATAGCTACTAAAACAGGAAACCAGCAATTTGTTTCAGCCTTTAGAACAATGTAACCCACTAGAGCACGCACAGTTATTCATTATGGTTATTACATTTGTAATATTCCAGAAAACAAAATGAAAAAGGCCATGGCAGAAACCCGAGCCATGGTTCTGCTCCAGGTTTGTTCCCCTAAAGGCAGTTGTTTCCTCCCTGTGTCTCCTAGTGCTGCTCTTGGTGGAACTGTAGTTCTTCTGTGAATAACTCTTGTGCTATATAAATAAAATGGAACTGAATTGAACTGAAAAAAGATTTTGTTGATATCGTGATATAAACATTAAATCAAACATTTTGTTGAAAAAATATCCAAATCTAACTTTTTCTCATATTGCCCAGCCTTAAGGTTAGGGTTAGTTTAGAGTTAGGTTAGGTAAGGCCGGGCAATTTTTGGATTTCGAATTTATGCCCAATGTAAAATTTCTCTATGATTATAAATGAGACTTTCAAAAAGCCGATGCCTTAAAAAAAAGTTTTCACAGACCTGCGAATACCGTAATACCCGATTTGATATCTCTCATATCCTGATATGAAATCAAAATCAAACATTTTTTTGGGGGAAAATAATCTAAATCTAACTTCTTCTCCTGTCCCCGACCCGGTGTGTGCCTGCTGGCCTGCTTACCGACTGCAGGGATGGGGGGGAGCTTCATGCTGTCGCGCGGCCCCTGGGGGGGCTGCGGGTGGATCCAGGGGCAGGACTCCCTCACCGTCCTCAGCCTTTCCTTCTTGATGTTTTCCAGCTTGATGGTGACCGGCCCGCCCGCAGCCTTCCTCAGCTGAAGCCCCACCCCCACCTGCTGCCCCCCGGCTGCCACCGTGGAGTCCACCATGGGGCAGTCGTCCTGCGCGCTGAGGTCCCCGAAGCTGCCCCCGCTGTGCAGGGCCATCTCTACCCCACTGTCGGTGTTGTTGGCGCTGCTGATGGGAGACGGCTCGCTGCTGCACGACGACTGGCCCCCGGGGCTGGACTGGTACGACTGCGGGGGGGGGGGACGCGCGTTAGACACCCCCAGAGACACCCAGACTCCCCCAGACAACTCCAGAATCCCCCAGACACCCCCACACACCCCCAGACACCCCTATAAACCCGCCAGACACCCTAACCCTAACCCAGACACCCTTAGACCCCCCAGACTCCCCCAGACACCCCCATACACCCGCCACACACCCTAACCCTAACCCA